CACATACTCAAAAAAAATCAGGCAACAGAAATAGTTTGAGCTTCTCCAAATGTTCACTTTCACAAATATTTAAAAATAGTATATACATATACATGTCTGTATATATTTACATATTCTGAAAACTAAATGAACTATGTTCAAAAAGCTAAAGAAAAATGTAATAGTAACTCAACGTATCTCAAAAAATGCTTAGAAATTCAAGATAATTCCCTAAAATGAGGCAACTGTTCTGTTTACAGAGAAGCTGAAAGTGAGTATGAATCACAAAGGAAAGGGAAGCCACTGTGATGAATCCCACATTTTCTTGGTTTCAATTTTTAATTGCTTGTAGTCATATGAAAGTGCCACAAAAAGACATGTTGTGAGAAGAAGTCAGCCTTCTGAATAGCTTTATCTTGCTTTATAATTTTAAAAAGATTTTCCTTTGCTTATCAACTGTGCTAACTATATGATTAAAAAGGTTTGTTTTTAAAAAATCCTGAAAGAAAAGTCCAAGAAAAAAAATCCAAGAAAGAGTCCAAGAAAAGATGGATTCACTGCTGAACTCTACTAGACTTTTAAAGAACTAGCATCAATGTTCCTCAAACTATTTCATGAAATAGAAAAGGAAAGAATGCTACCACATTCATCCCACTGAGCCAGCGTTACCCTGATACCAAAACCAAAAGGGAATCAACACAAAAAAGGAGTATAGACTATCCTTGATGAACATGAATGCAAAAATTCTCTGTAAAATAGCTGCAAACCAAATTCAATGACACATTTAAAAGATCATACACCATGATCAAATAAGTTTCATTCCAGGGATGGTCCACCATATGCAAATCAATAAACATAATTGAGGACAAAACTGCATGAGCACCTCAACAGACAAAGAAAAGGCCTTTGATAAAAGTTCAACGTTACCGCAGGACAGTAGTGTCTGAAGACACTAGGAACAGAAAAGACCTGAATATAATATTAAATGGGGAAAAAACTTCCTTTAAAATTAGCAACTAGACAAAGGTGTCCACTCTACTCTTATTCAATGTAATAATACTTGAATTCTTAGAGCCTAATAAGGCAAGAAAAAAAGGGAGGATACAAATAGAAAAGGAAGAAGACAACTTATCCTTATTTGTAGACAAGAAGATCCTGTACATAAAGACCCTAAAGATTACACAGAAATCTTAAATCTGATTAAAAAAAAAAAAAACTTTCGCTAAAGTATCAGGATACAAAAATCAACATACAAACATTAGTAGCTTTTTTCTTCATACCAATAATGAACATGGCTGAGAAAGAAATCAAGAGAACAATCCCATTCACAATGGTCTCAAAACAAACCAACCAACCAAGAAATAAGCTTAACCAAGCAGATTAGAGACTTCTCCAACAAAGATGATAAACCATTGAAAAATAAAATCAGACACTGGAAAACAGAAAGATCTCTTATGTTCTTCGATTGGCATAATTAATATTGTGAAAATGGCTGTATTACTGAAAGCCACAGACACACTGAATGCAATCCCCATCAAAATCTCAATGACATTCTTCACACAAATAGGAAAAAAAAAAAAAAAAAGCCCTAAAATTCATATGGAAGCACAAAGACCCTAAATAGCCAAAGCAATCCTGAGTAGAAAGAACAATGCCAGAGATATAAAAATATCTGATCTCAAATTACACTACAGAGCCATAGTAACAAAACCAGCATGGTACTGGCACAAAAACAGAGACATAGATCAGTGGACTAGAATACAGAAAGCAAGGGCCAGGCATGGTTGTATCTGCTGGTAATTCCAACTACTTGAGAGGTGAAGGTAGGAAGATCATGGTCTGAAGACAGCCTAGGTCAAAGCATGAGACCTTATCCAACAAAAAAAAAAAAAAAAGAGAGAGAGAGAGAGAGAGAGAAAGAGAAAGTAAAAGGACTGGGGGTGTAGTTCAAGTGGTAGAGTACTTGCTTAACAAATATGAGCCCAAGGCCCTGAGTTCAATCCCCAGTACTACCACCAAAAATAAATAAATAAATAGACAGATAGATAATACGGGACCCAGAAATAACCCAGGCAGCTAAGCCATCTGATTCTGAACAAAGGCACCACAAATAGATGTTGGGAGAAAAAAACAGCTTCTTCACAAATGGTATTAGGAAAACTTGATATCTACATGAAGAAGAAAACCAGATTGGTATCTTTCTCTCCGTACAAAAATCAACTCAAACCGGATAAAAAAGCTTAATATAAGACCTGAAACTACTAGAGGAGCACAAGGAAAACACATCAAGATATCGGTATAGGTAACAACTTTCTCAATACGATTCCAATAGCTCAGGAAATAAGAACAAGAGTAACAAATGGGATTCCATCAGATTTAAAAGGTTTCTGCATTGGCTGGGGTGTAGATCGAGTGGCAGAGCAACTGCCTAGTAAGCTTGAGGCCCTGGTTCAATTTCCAGTACTGGAAACAAAAAAGAAAAAGCTCTGTACATCAAAGGAAGCAATTATAGAGTAAAGACACAGCCTACAGAATGGGAGAAAATCTCTGCCATAGGACAAGGGATTAATGTCCACAATATATAAAAAGATCAAAAAGTTAAACACCAAAAGATAAATAAGCCAATTAATAAACGTGCAAATGAATCAAACAGTTTCCAAAAGAACTGCAAATGTTCAATATCCTTAGCCATAAAGGAATGCAAATCCAAACATCACTGAGATTCCATCACAGGAGCCCAGTCGAAATGGCTACTATCAAGTGGTGAGGACACACTGGGAATAGAGGGACGGAAGAAACTCTCACACACCAGTGGTGGTAATGTAAACCAGTACAGCCACGATGGAAATCAGTATGGAGGTTCCTCATAAAACTAAAATAGAACTACCTTATAAACCTGCTCTATCATTCCTGGGTATATACTCATAGGAATGTAAGCCAGCATACGAAAGTGATACCTGTACATTCATGTTTTCTGCAGCACTATCCACAACAGCCGAATTATGGAATTAGTCTAAGAGCCCACTATCAGATGAATGGAAAAGAAAATGTGTTGAATAATACATGATGGAGTATTAACTTAGTCATAAAGAGTGAAATTATGATGTCTGCATGAAAAAGAGATCATTATGTTAAGTGAAATTAAACCAGTCTCAAAAAGACAAATACTAAGAAAAAAAAAAAAAAGACAAATACTGAATGTTTTCTAGGTGGAATCTACATCTTAAAAAAAAAAAAGTTGTGAACATAAAAGGGGGACTACCTGGGGGAAGAGGTGGGAGTGAAAAGAGGGAAAATATGATCCAAGTACATCCTATGCACATATGAAAAGATCATAATGAAATCCTTCAAAGAAACTTGCAGGAGGCCTGGGGGTATCAAGTGATAGAGCACCTGTCTAACAAGCACAAGCCCTGAGTTCAAATCCCAGTAAAGCAAAATAAGTTATTTTAAAAAGGGAGGTTGAGGAGGGGGATAAGGAAGAGTAACAAATGATTGGAATGACCTAAATAAACTTCAAAAACCGTAATACAGTGCTCCAGTATCAAAAGATAAAGACTCATATACCATATGAAAATTTTAAGTTCTAATCATATAGCCTAAAATGTCATAAACTGGGAGAGTGTATCTGCAATATATCCCTGAGAAAAGATTAATTCAAAATGCATAAAAGAACTACTATAAAGAAAACAACTCAACAGAAGTAGGCAAATGATTTGAAACCAAGGTAGTTCAGAAAAGAAACAGAAAAGGTTTAAAAATGTTCTCACATATGCAAATACACAATGAGCTATCATTTTACATTCATGATTCACTGTTGGTGCTGCTTCTACTTTCAACTGATTTCAGAGGGCAACTATCTACTCTGTGAAGTCATGCCCATGTGGCAACTCATACAGCTAATCCAGAATCTTGGATTCCCACCTGAAGTGGAGGAAGACATCAGCATTCTGCCCATGTCTTATGCTCAGGAAAGTGGGATGGAGCATCATCCGCAGCCTGTGCTTCTGCTAATATCAGTGTGTAGATCACTTTCTTGTAGCTCTTAACTGTAAGTGTACCTTGAATTAAGGGATTTGTGTAGTCCACAAACTTAATTATTGCTAATTTTAAAATGTCTTTGTAAGAGTACAGTTAGAAAAGATGAAGCAATAATGGAAGGCTATAGATGGGCCATCTTATCTGTGTTCCTATGGAAACTATCTGAATATTTGTTTTACATGGATTTTTATTCATTTTTTCAACATGCTACTAAAGAGTGCCTCTCAGCTGCTGAACAAGTATCTGTAGCTTATATAATGGCTGAACAGGTCAAAAAGCTTAGTGTTATGACTTGTTTTGAAAATAAAATATCTTGAAATAATTTGGAAAACAAAAACAAAAGAACAAATCCTCCATGGCCAGGTGTGGTGCCACAATGCCTATAATCCCAGCTATGGGGATAGGGGAAGTGTAGGTGGAGCAGGGGTGGGGGGGTAGGAGGATCATGGTATGAGGTCACCCCTGGGCAAAAAGCATGAGACCCTTTCTGAAAAATAACTAAAGTAAATAAGGAAAGGGGGCATGGGTTAAGTGTTATGTACAAGGCAGTGAGGTCAAAATCCGAGGAGGGGAGGGGAGAGGAGAAGAAAGAAAGAAAGAAAAAACAAAAAAACCAACCCTCCAGAAGAGTAGTCACCCTTGTAAGGTACTAGGAGCATGTCAAAATCCAGGATGAGAATATAAAGAGATTCAAAAGTATTAGTTGTGTGGGATGGGAATGTAGCTCAATGTCAAGCACTTTCAGAACATGCATGATGTGTGGGTTTAATCCCCAGCATCACCTCCCCCCAAAAAAAAGAGTTAAAGACTGGGACAAGACACGTAAGTGTTCATTATTTATATATTTTTGTTAGTGTGAAATGTTTCACAATTAAGAACTATTTAACTCTAAGTAAGACAATTACCTCTAAGTAAAAACTTAGTAACTTAAACTGAATGAATAGCCTTTTCATTTATCATCATTCAATATTGATATAAATCTTTGCTGTTAAGTAGCCTTAATTAAAAAAAAAAAAAACCAGTAACTCATACCCAGCCACCTTGCTGAATGATGTACTCTGCTGCATAGTCCTCCAGATATGTCATGCCAAACTGCAGCAGTGCGCTCAGAGATTCTTGACCACGTCTTGTCAATTCCAAAAGCATTTGTCGTAGCAGAACCAGAGGCACTAAAATCTTCAATGTAAAGATGGAGAGCATTAAAAAGAAATAAAATTCTTACGAAGCAGTTATATGGACAATTACTGGAAAATTATATTCACATGTATCATTATGATATTTCATTCTCATTACTATAAAACATTAATTCCTACTAGAATTTTTCTGAATACTGCATGGAGGTTTCATACAATAGAGAGGCAGAAAGACTCACTATATGAAAATAATTGAGCATGCATGTGTATAAAACCACAAATGAAAACTGGCGGATAGCATCAAGCAGGAAGAGCACCTGCCTAGCAACCATGAGGCCCTGAGTTCAAATCTCAATATGGAAATTGCACAGAAGCACCAGTTATAATAGCAAAGACTAGAAACAACTCAACAAGGACTATTTTAATAGATTCTGGCCATCCAGAAAAATATGAACTAGATGGTTCACTACTTAATTACCAAAATTTTAACTCAATAAAAGCAAGATACAGGAGAGTATGTACAATATGAGATCATTTGTGGAAAACAAAACAAAACAAAGCTTAAACACACATACATGTTTGTATAATCCTACACTTTTGCTGGAAAAAATATAAAAAACTGGTAGCCAGTTGTGGTGGTGCACACCTATAATCCCAGCACTTAAGAGGCTAAGGCAGGAAGATCTCAATTTCAAAGCCAGCCTGGGCTACATAGTGAATTTAAGGCCAATAGGGACCATACATAGTGGGACTTATCTCCAAAAAAACAAAAACAAACCAAAAAAAAAAAAAAAAGAAAACAGCGATGGCCTAAGAGAAGGGAAACTGAGTGGCTGGCAACAAGGGTGAGAGAAACCTTTTATCAAAGATAAAACAAGGCACATCTTTCTATACTTTTTGCATTTTGTACCATATGTTTTTATTAGCTAATTTTACTGAGCATGGTGGTACACACCTATAATTCCAACTACTCAGAAGGCAAAGAAAGAGTATCAAGAGTTCAAAGCTAGCCCAGGTGAAGTTAGACCCTACTTCAAAAACAAAATAAAAGTGGCAGAGTACCTGCTTAGCAAGCACCGGTGTGTGTATGTATGTATGTATGAATGAATGAATAGACAGACAGATAGATAGATAGATAGATAGATAGGGCTGGGGTGCAGCTCAAGTGGTAGTGTGCTTTCCTGGCAAGCACAGGACCCTGGGTTCAAATTCTAGTACTGCAAAAGTTAAAAAAAAGAAAAAAGTTTATGAGCTATGTTATAAAAATCATCAAAAATCAAATGCAAAATGAAACACTGTATCTATACCTAATAACCTATGGCATCAATATTTAAAAGTCATCAAAATTTATCACAGAAATTAGCCTCTATTGTCTTCCTTTCAAAAAATGCATATAGAAAAAAACAAAACAAAACAAAAAAAACTAAAGGGCTAGAGCACTTGAGACCCTGGTTGAATCCCTAGCACTTCAAAAGGGAAAGAGAAAAGAAGAAAAGAGAGAAAGAAAGAGAGAGAGGGAAGGAAGGAAGGAAAGGAGAGAGGGAGAGAGAAAGACAGGGAGGGGGAGAAGGAAGGACAGAAAGGAAGAGGGGAGGGGAAGGAAGAGGAGGAAGAAAGAAAAGAAAAGAACTAAGCATTTTAGTTAGCCATCTGCATGAGATCTCTTGTCTGAAACATCAAGAGATCTCCACATGACTGGAGAAGGAATGCACAAGGAAATTAAACCAATTCCAGCTTCTTGTTACTGGATTACCAAGGAAATAACTGGAGGACAAAATATTTCCACTTAAGAGAACATACAAAAAAAATAAGTTTATGCTTAATACTAATATTTTTTGGTTTTCAAATTTTCTTCTGGTTTTTACTAAAAGCAGCCCTGAGCAAATCTATGTTAAAGTCTGAAAGAAACAAACAGTATCTTCAACTTTTTGACATTCTAAACGAATTCTGGCTCAAAATATATAGAAAACCCCTACTTAACACTAATGGAAGGATATAAGGCTCCAGGAAGAGTAAGTTAGGTTTTTCCCATAATAAGGAAATACAAAAACAAAATTACAAAACCAAACCACAATTACCTTATTTAGCCCCAGTCCTGACTTGGACAGGACTAAGAAGGCTTGTTAGTCGGCCTGGCAAACTCTTATCATATCAAATTCAAAGACCCGTGATGTTCTGTACTGCAAAACCACTCTAATTTCCTGTAATAATTCTTAAGAACATAACCTTTTCACCTTATTTATGATTAAGCTTTATTATCTCTTGGGGAAGTGAGTTATAAATATTTTATGAATTGCTATATAAAATTAGTTATCTGTCCCAAATTAGCTTTTGTATGTAAAAATATAGTTGACACTTCAATTTTACAAATAATAACCCAGTAAAAATCTGTAATAATATTTCACTCATGTTAATTTTAGTCCTTGACTGTACTTCCTTTTATTCACTATAGGTTCAGGCTGAAATTTAATCATATAGTCTGTTTTTCATATGGCAATTGCTCTACTGCATTCATTATTTAAGTTACTCATTTCTGGATCTTCTCCATTTCAATTATATCTTTTTTTTCTTTTGGTGGTACTGTGTACTGAACCTAGGGCTTTAAACATGCTAGGCAAGCGTGACCTATGCCTCCAGTCCCTAATTAAATCTTTCTTAAAATGCAGTAAGCAGAGTACAGAAATTTCATTTACTTATTTATTTGTGTGGTGCTGGGGTTTGAACTCAGGACCTCATACTTGATAGGCAGGCTCGCTACCATTTGAGCCACACTCCCAGCCAGAAACTTTCTTTTATAGGACTAGCATTTTCTATAGGATTGGGAACATTCTTCTTAGTGATACATGTTATGTCTGATGGGTTTTTTTCCCTTGAATTCCTCATACAATTATGGTACTACACACCAAGCTTACTTATTTGATGTACTTTCTTCACAGATCTGCACGATGACTTTAAGCCCACCAACTTTTAAGTGCAGTTTAAATTATCTTTAGAATTTTGGGGGGGGCAATACTGGGGTTTGAACTCAGGGCCTTGCACTTTGCTAGGCAGGTGCTCTACCACTTGAGCCACACCTCCAGTGCAGTTTAGATTATATTTAGTTAAACTCACTTGCCTACACAACAGGTTTCATGAATCATTCTACAATTCATTTCCATCAACTTGGAATTTTAATACCCACAAATATTTTTTATAATCTGTAACCCAATTTTTAAAATATTGTATTTTTTAAATTTTAAAACAAAACTGACCTGTAATCCCAGTACTCAGGAAACTGCGGCAGGAGGATTGAGAGCTCAAAGCCAGCCTGGACTACATAGTGGGAACTTGTCTCAAAAAAAGTGTTTTGCAGGGCACCTGTGGCTTACACGTATAATCCTAGCTACTTGGGAAGCTGAGATCAGGAGGATCAGAGTTCAAGGCCAGCACCCAGGCAAATATTTCATGAGACCCCCCATCTCCCAAATAAACAGAGATAAATGGACTGGAGGTGTAGCTCAGGCAGTAGAGCACCTGCTTTGCAAGCGTGAAGCCCAGAGTTCAAACCCCAGTCCCACCAAAAGATAACCAACACACTCTGCCTTCTTCAACAGTTGTGATAGACAAATGAGATGTATGACACAAAATACACTGTAAACTATAAAACGCTAATGGTATAATTCATTTAAAAGAACCAGAAAAGGTTATCTCCCAATGAAGTCCTTGTTCTTCTCCTGTAAGACAAATAACCATCTAGAAATAAATGTCATAACAAATACAGAAAATTAAAAAATGACAGAATATTCAGAGTACATAGAAAAGAAGGGTGGCATACTATGGGGCACATATTTTTGAGTCAACCAGAACCTTGTAGCATTAAAAAAAAAAAAAAAAGTTAACAATATTTACTTACCACAGTTGATTTGTGAATTAATGAGCTCTGACAGTTTTATGTTGCATGATGATGCTAACAATTCTTCCTACACGTTATCATTAACACTAAACTCTTGTAAGAGTGAAGATAATTTGATTAGTACCTTATTCCAGCCACTGGCATGAATAGCAGCCTCCAGTGTACATTCTCGATATGCCTGATATGTCACTGGCCTGTAGAGATTTTTTTTAAAGTCAGTATCACAACAAAGAAAAAGTTCTAAATTTCTAAATAAATAAATATACACACATTACTATGTTGCTGAATTTTTTTGCTAAAATGACTAGGATTATTCAACACATTGTCTTTTAGGATGTGGCTTTTAATATTTGGCAGGCATTTTTTCCAAACATTCTATAGGCTGAAAAGCATGTTTGGGAAAGTAGTTAATAGTATAGCAAGATAAATATATAGTATAATTCTTTTTTGTAATTTCTTAGATTGTGGAACTTCTATGTTGTAAATAAATTCTATATATTGATATAGAAACAAATAATAACAAATAAAAATTATCTCAGTAAAATTAAAAGCACATAGCCAGGCATGGTGCTGTATCCCTGTAGTCCCAGCTACACTGGATCTGGAGACAGCAGGATTGTGATTTAAGGCTAACCTGGGCAAAAATTATCAAGACTACCTCAAAACAAGCCAGGTGTGGTGGTGCACATCTGCAATCCCAGCTACTCAAGAGATAGATGTAGGAAGATCAGGATTTGAGACTAGGCCATGCAGGTAGCCTGAGACCCTATATGAAAAACAAACTAAAAAAACCAAAAGGACTGGGGTCATGGCTCAAAGGGTAGAGTGGCCCTAAGTTCAACCCACAGTACAAAAAGAAAAAAGGGTTTTGAGACCAGGTCTCACTATGTAGCAGGTCAGGCTGACCTATAACTCACAAAACTCCTGTCTCAGCCTCCTGAGTGCTGGGATTATACATGTGCACCAGTACACTTAACATATTTAAAAAGTAGAGTCAGGCCATTGGAAAACTTTTCAAAATGAGCATACCAAGAGTTAGAATAAACAAGGACAATAAATGGTGCCTTATTTTTAACTTGGAGTCTAGTGAAAAATACTGAGGCCAGAAAGATTAACCTTTTTGATTATTTGCATATAAGTTCTAGTCATATACCAAAACCCAAAATCATTGAGTGATGACAACACTCAAAGTCTCACTAATATGTTGAGGAACTTTATGTACTACATTTTAAGCATTGGCTTCATGTATAAATTAAAAAACAAAAACAAAAACATAGATGCTGGGGTGCCGGTGGCTCACACCTGTAATCCTAGCTGCTCAGGAGGATCACAGTTTGAAGCCAGCCTGGACAAATAGTTCATGAGACCCTATCTCAAAGAACCTATCACAAAAAATTGGGCTGGTAGACTGGCTCAAGGTGAAGGCCCTGAGTTCAAGCCTCAACACCATACACCGCCCCCCCCAAAAAAAACATGGTACCAAGTAATATATGGAGACAACAAAAGCTTACAAACTAAAATTACCCTCTCCCATTTTTGGCAAAGTATTGACAGACATGTAGTAAGAGTGGCAGGAGTTTTGCTTTCAAAAAATCCCATTCCAAGATATTTTCTGCTATTACCAATCTAGTCTATGTTATCTTTGGCCTATGAATATTTAAGATTGACAATAGTTACCACTTATAGTCTACTATAATGGGTTTTCTATTTTCACATATTATGTATTATATTGCAAATTATCACATTACACCTTAGGAAACCAAAGCTCAGCAAAGGTAACAGACTATCCCAAAAACACATGGCTGGAAAGCAGCCAAATAGGAATTCACACCCCATTATATCTGGCTGCAAAGGCCACACTACTCCCATTTCAAATTAGGATTCTGACACATGCCACAACAATGTCTAGATGCCACATGTGGCTAATGAACACCTGAAATGTAGCCATGTATAAAATACAGACTAGATTTCAAAGAGTCAGTAAGAAAAAAAGAACGTTAAATATAATCATCTTTCACGCTGAGTCCTTCTGAAATGATATTTTGAATATATTGAGCTGAAATACACTGTTAAAATGTTTAACTGCATTTTATTTTTTGTTTGCCAGATATTTTTAAATTATTTTATGTGACTTGTAAAGTATGTACTGAATAGCACTAGTCTAGGTATTTCCAAAAACAATTCTGATGACACATGTATCATTCTCTCAATATCAAATTACTACTGCAGTGATGATGAAGGGCGATGGGATGATCTTTATCATGATAAGATGTATCTTCATGACATCACATTCTCATTAAAGCTTAGCATTTTTAGGGGCTGGTGGAGTGCTCAAGTGGTAGAGCTCCTGCTTAGCAAGCATGAGGCCCTGAGTTCAAACCCCAGTACTATAAAAAAGAGGAAAAAAAAAAAGCAAAATAAAACAAAAAAACCTTAGCATTTTTACTCTTCAAGTATATACTAGATTTCTATAAAACTTGAACTTCACCAAATACTATACAGTCTACCTACCTATATTCTCCCTGAAGCTTTACTTTCATGTATCGGTCCCTTCACTTCCTTTCCTGAACTGTTTGATGCTGCTGTGTGTCACAGTAGTCCTTACAGGTAGTCTATCAGACTAAAGTATTTTTTTTTTTTTTAACAAAGTACTTTAGCATCCTTCAGAATGAAATATGATTCAAAATATTATATGTACATACACATATGCACATAAAATGTAGATTAAAACATTCAAAGGAAATCTAATACATAGAAGAGCAAGTAGCTGAATAATTAGCTCTGCTTAATGAGGTTTTAGAATAGAACAAAAAGGAAAGGGGGTTAACTTTTGAAATTACTGGTGTTCCACATGAGAGGTCAGGATTAATTGACCTCTTTAAGAAAACCAGGAGCAGGTGATTTTTTTTCTACTGTAAGAAATTGCTTTCAACCTGTATAATACTTCTAGTTTATCACTAATTTGTTATTAGTAAGGTATTAATAAAAGAGCTTAAAGCTTTCAAAAGTAAATTTCTGAAAAAAAATGTATTTACAAAGTGACTGATATGCAGCCAACCTAAAAAATAATTGTGCCATGTGGGAGGGGGGATAAAGAAGAATAATGAAGATATATTGTAAGAATTTTTGTAAATGTCACAATGCACCCCAGAACAACAATAATAATAAAAATTGTATCAGTAATTAGGGCTAGGGGGAAAAATAAATGTTTATCCAAGTCAATTTTCTTTTAAATATAATTTGCAGTGAGACATATTAAATTTTCCTATAGATTATGAAAGACTCCTGAAATAATACTTAACAAAAAAACTATATAATTCTGTTCTTTGGAGAGCTGATAATATCCCAGTAAACTTAAAATGAACAGATGAAGAAACTGACATATAAAGAATAAAATGGCCAGGTGCCAGTAGCTCACACCTGTAAATCCTAGCTACTTGGGAGGCAAGATAGGGAGGACTGTAGTTCAAAATGGACTGGAGATGTAATTCAAGGAGTAGAGAGCCTGCTCTCCAAGTGTGAAGCCCTGAGTTCAAACCCCTGACCAATGAAACAAATAAATAAAATGTTCAAAGGCATAAACAGTTTGCATCAAAGTTGCAAATACAATCGTTTGCCTATGCCTCTTATTTTCCTCCCAACAGCTTTTATAAGGTTTTTGTTTTTGTTTTCTTTTTGGCAAGACAGTGTATTTCTTTCTTCAAATATTGTATTTATTAATATTATTGAGGTTACTCTCAAAATACATACTTTCACCTATGTGAAAGTATAGTGTGCTTGTTGAGGAAGGGTAGAGAGGTCTAGTGAGCCCCACTCCATCTACCTTTTACCTCCTTAGCCTCCTCCCTATAGCGCCTCAGGGCCTAACACTTTACCCAACACTTTCTGAAAACCACTGCTGTAGATCCAATCTTCCTGTATATGTTTATTTCCTGACACCTATACCCTTCTTTTCACATTTACTTTATTTATTTTTTGGGGGGGCAGTATTGGGGGCTTGAACTCAAGGTTTCATTGCTTGCTAGGTAGGTGCTCTACCACTTCCCTTGAGCCACGTCTCCAGCTACACATTTATCTTTAAACTTTTCTAAAGTTAAGAAAATCCAAATACGATTTTATTTCACTAAGTATAATTAGGAATTTTACCTTTGCTCATTTCAGCAGAATATGCAGAAGCAAATGAATTCTTTTAACTCAAATTGCTTCCTTCTAACAAATGGGAAAGTGTAATGGAGCCTACATAAATGGTATCTCCTTACTACCACAGTAACTTGTCATCTGATACTCAGTTCTTTTAGTGCTAGGAACAGTCCTGTTTTATAAAGTTGTCAATCTTCATTAAGATAAGTATTTATCTAATTCATACCAATTCCTTAATTCTCAGCAAAGAATTAGGGGAAACTGATTTTTAAGATTTATAAGAAATGACTTGGGTCTACCTTAATATATTTTCATTTTTACTAGTTTCTTGACTTTAGCTTTAATGGGAAGGAGTTCATTATCGCAAGGCAGAAGTAGTTCCGTGATCAGATGGGCAACGCCAAAGTTCAGCAACATTTGGGATACAGATAAAATGTTAAACACAGATATCTAAAACACAGAGATAAAGTTAATCACACAAAATTTCAGTCATTATATTTATGTTTGCCATTAGAAAGGACAAGGGGAATAGCTTTTGTTCACAACACATTAAGTACATCTATAGAGATCTGACAGCTCAACCAGTAAACACAAACCATCAAATCTTTGTTGGAATAATTAAATCACTGCTTTGAGATAAAACTGCCATTGAAAACAAAGACAAGATGCTTTGGGAAAGCCACAGAAGAAAAGCGATAAAAGAACTGACACTGTTCACCTACAGCAAATCCTTAAACCAATCCAGCACTGCATGAGCTCCAGAGACTAAATAGGAAGTACATTCCCACTCAGCAATGGTGACTCACTGGCTGAGGAGCATTTGCAAAGCTTTATGCAGAGGCTCTTTCAGTTCCTGTGACACTTTTTCTCCAAGTTGGGCCAAGCAGTCTTCTATTGAGCTCTCTGGGTTAGCAGGGCTGAACACTGGAGAAGTGTGACGGTCAAAGCCTGTGCTGTTGAAGGCTAAAAACAAGGCAAAAGAAAAACCTAATTTAATAAACAATATCAAAGTTGTGCTATGAGCTGGGCATGCTAGTGCACACCTGTAATCCAAGTACTCAAGAGACTAAGGAAGGACGATTATAAATTCAAGGTCATACTGGGCTACATAGCAATACCCTGCCTCAAAAAATAAAACAACAACAAAAAAAGTGTGCCATGAAAGCCCATGGGATTAAGATAGCTACTATACCAGGCACTGGAGGCTCATGTCTGTAATCCCAGCTACTTGGAAGGTAGAGATAAGGAGGATCAAGGTTTGAGGATAGCCGGGTAACAAAAGGAAGACCCTATCTCAAAAATACTTAACACAAAAAACGGCTGGCAGAGTGGCTCAAGTGGTAGAGTGCCTGTCTAGCAAACATGAGGCCCTGAGTTCAAATCCCAATACTTCCATAGTAGTACTACCTGCTATCAAGACAATAGCTGTAAGTTACTTAAAAGGGTCAGTCATTATTTATGAATCTTGTCTAGAACACAAAAATTGATAAGTTCTAAAGTTATAGGTTTTATTTTCTTTTGCTTTTGAGACAGGGTCTTCCTATGTAGCCCAGGCTGGCCTCACATTCAATATCCTCTTGTCTTAGCCTCCAGAGCACTGAGATCCCAACTCAGCCCTGGCATGCACCACCATGTAAACTTTCTATACCATATATACATGCAAAAATGAGGTTTTTAAACTTTTTTCCTATTAGTTATAAAGGTGCCAAGTATAAATGAAATCATAATGAATGGAAAGGACTTTAACATGATCCTTCAGTCCACTACTTAACACAAGAACAGGCCACATCCAAACTGTTGAGGATAGCTGGAAAACTTTTATAATCATAACCCACAGGAAAGAAAAAAAAAAAAGGCTACCTTCTAGTTTTGCTGTTATAACCCCTTATAATTCCACATCATTAACTAGGAAAATAAGAATAAACAGACCTTCAGAAATTTCTTTGTCCAGGGCTTTTAGTTCTTCTTCAATTTCAGATTTAACTTTTAATAAAACTTCTGGATCCAGAGGTTGTGAAGCTACATCTACTTGGACCCCTGAAACCAAGAATAAATGTTACTATACAAAGAGGGAGAGAGAAGCCATTGGAGTAGTATTAGCCAGGCCGGGAGTGGGGGAGGGGGGTAGGGGGGTAGTGGGTGTACCCACAGTCCCAGCACTTAGGAGGCTAAGGCAGAATTGCTTGAGCCATGGAATTCAAGGCGAACCTGGACAGCATACCAAAAAAAAAAAGGGAAGTAATACCTTAACTATTAAGTCAGAAAATGCGAAATCAAATAAAAACTCATTATTAAGGGTAAGGAGGCTAGGAGCTACCTTCTGAAAATGATAAAGGAACAGCAATGGGACAGTGGGTATGGCTCGGTAATAGAGCACTTCCCTTGCATGAGACCTCCGATTCCATTCCCAGCACCAAAATGAATGAATAAATAAATGAAGGAAGGAAGAAACAATAATAATTAGTAGAAGTATTTGGGTAATCTATTGGAGTAAATCTGGTAAAAATAGAAGCCCTCATCTTTCTACATATTTCTGCCAGAAATGGGGGGAAATGTAGAACTTTCAAAAATACTTGGAGATTGGGAGAAGGCTGGCATTAATATGTATAAATTCTTTTTTTTGGCAGCACTGGGGTTTGAACTTGGCTTCACGCTTGCTAGGCATGAGCTCTACTGCTTGAGCCACTCTGTCAGCTTGTATGCAATATATTCTTTTAGAAAGAACCAAACAGGGTGTGGTAGCATAAGCCTGAAATCCCAGCACTGAGGAGCCTGAAGAAGGATGGTCTATAGTTCAAGGCCAGCCAGGGAAACCCTGTCTAAAAACAAAAAAATAGAACTATATGAAAGTTGAATATGATATATGATAAGGCCAACCAAAAGATGGCCAGGAGCCAAAGTTGCTCATCAGCAGATTATAGACTCATGTCTGTAATACTACCTACTTGGGAGGCTGAGACTGGAGGATGGAGATTCAAGGCCAGCCTGGACAAATAGTTCATAAGACCCCATCTTCAAAAATAATCAGAGCAAAATGGACTGGAGGTATGGCTCAAGCAGTAAAGTGCCTGCTTTACAAGCTCAAAGTCCTGAGTTCAAACCCCAGTCCCCCCCAAAAAAAAGGAAGGCACAGGTTGTAGTTTAGTGGTGGAGCACTTGCCTAGCTCTAGTAGGTCCTGAGTTGTATTCCCAGTACTATAAAACAAAACACATGTTACTTTAGTGGTGGTGGAGATGTGCTTTCTCTCCACTTAAGAGTGATATAGATCCCTAATTATTATCGCAGTTCTGGACTCTTTCTTTTTCCTTTTATGTGGTGCAGGGATTCAAACCAGGGCCTCTTGTGTGCCAGTCGGTGCTTTACCATTCAGCTACACCACTCCATCTTCTTAAGTTATGATGTTAAGTGGTATACTTCTAGCATTTTTTATACATACTTTGTAGTTTTTTCTTCTCTTTTTCCCCCTACATTCAAACACAATTAATAGCTGCTTAAATCCACAAGGCATAAAACTGAAGTTAAAGTTTCACCATTCTGGACCTGACTTCTTGGTCTCAATCATATTTTTTTTTCTTTTCCTTTCTGCAGTGCTGAGAATTAAACTCAGGGCTTTGTCCATGCTAGGCAAGCACTCTACCATTGAGCTATATCCCAGCCCAGTCATTTTAGATTCACGAGTTATGCTCATCACAACTCTTCTACTTATTAAACTAGGACTTCTCATGTTTCTACCTTCTTTTTTTTTAACTTTTGGCAGTACTGGGGTTTGAACTCAGGGCTTCACACTTGGTAGAGCACTTGAGCCAAGCCTCCAACACTTTTTACTCTGGTTATTTTGGAGATAGGGTCCCATCTTAAATTTCCTGCAGTAGCTGGGATGACAGGTGCATAACACCATGCCCAGCTCTTGGTTAAGATGGAGTCTTGCAAACTTTTTGCTTGGGCTGGCCTCCAACCTTGATCCTTCCAATCCTAGCCTCCCAACTAGCTGGAATTACAGGCATGATCCACTGCTCATGACAATTTTTTTTTAATGCAGCAAAACAGTTATATAACTGTGCAAGCACAAAGGCAAAAAGACACTGATGAAGCCTGAAAGCAATGCCCTGTTAATAACAGTCTGAAGGCTAGGGGTATGGCTCAAGCAGTAGCCTGCCTGCCTAGCAAGCTTGTAGCCCTGAGTTCAAATTCCAGTATCACCAAAAATAAATAAATAATAACAGTCCAAATTCAGGCAAGTTCACTTTAGTGGTATCAATGCAAAATAACAGCAAATATCGAGAGACAGGTACTTTGAATGAATGCACATATATGTTTGTGTATTTTCACATACATTAAATCCTCATAAGAACCCTTTAAAATAGGTACAATTATTATCTTTACTTAATAAGTGAGAAAGATGAGGCACAGGGAAGAGATCTGAGCAAGGGTGCAAAATCAGCAGAGCTCAAGATACAAAGCCTGGCAGTCTAGTTTCAGGGCTTGGGCTCTTGGCAACTACACACCATTCACTGCCTCTCATCATGCTTGAAAGTGAGGACTATATAAAGTCAAACACCTGCCTATATGATAGTGATCTTGTAATCAACTTAGTTCTTAAGCATTACTGAATTGCAACTCCTTAGAAAATTTGAATACAATAATGGCTCTTCTTCCCAAAATATTTCAGCAAGCAATTTCAGGGAATTCACAGGCCCTCTCAGGACCTTTATAATCCTTTGTAAAAATCTCACTATTGGCTTTCTGGTGCTCACCACAGGCTGTGTTCTTACAAAAAGAGGTGGCAAAGTAAACCCACTCCATATACACCTCAGTTCATGTCTGGTGCCTAGTCTATATTGTGAATAGGGAGAGACATGGGATGTTTTAAAAATAGATCTCACTATGCAAAAAAATTAACTAAGTAAAATAAAATAAAGGCCAAAAAAAGGGGAGAAAACTTCACCATCACTTAATTCTCCTTCCTCCTCCTCCGGGTCCTCCACACACCAATTCTCACATAGTCCTCCTCCTCTATTTAATGTACTACAGTTTTTATTATTGGGTAACATGACTACTGTGCAAAAGCCAACAATCAGTGCTCAAGGGCACTAAGGAGACCAATCAAGAGTAATCTAGTCAAGGGCTGCCTATAATCCTAGTAACTCAGGAGGCAGAGATCAGGAGGATCGCAGTTCGAAGGCAGCCCTAGGCAAATACGTCATGAGGCCCTATAAAGAAAAAACCCATCACAAAAAGGGCTGGCAGAGTAACTCAAGCGGTAAGAGTGCCTGCCTAGCAAGCGTGAGGCCCTGAGTTTGAATCTCAGTGCAGCCCAAGCCAAAAAATAATAATCTTGCCTACCACTGGTGGCTCATCCCTGAAATCCTACTTGCTACTTGGGAGGCCAAGATCAGGAGGATAATGGCTCAAAGTTAGCCTAGGCAAAAAAGTTTGCAAGACTCCGCCTCAATGGAGAAAAGCTGGATGTGGTGGCACACACCAGTCATCTCGCCTACAGTGAGAAGCATAAAATAGGAGAACTGCAATTCAGGCTGGACTGGAGATGTGGTTCAAGTTGTGACTGCTTGCCTAGCGAGCAGGAAGCCCTAACTTCAAATGCCAGTACTGCCAAGGGGGAGGGGGGGAGTAACAGAGGCAATGGAGGAGTTTACAAAGAAAAGACTTGTACTTATCCAGAGAACAGAGCAAAAAGAAACCAAAAAGTTAGGTTAAAAGTACGCAAATGTTGAAGTACACCAGCATGGGTTCTTTTATGCTTTAAGTCCGGTGACAATATAAAAATATTCTCTCTTCTGATACAGCAAAGATCTCCATTTGAACAAGAACTGTTTGATAAAAGAGTCAAACCACATTCCTGGGACATGGGCAACATTCACAACCAGTTGGTTTTCTAGCTGATGGCATCTAAGGACATGGGGATCATTCGAAGCCATTCTAGGAATCTGGCTCACTTCTAGGACTTATATATAAGCCTATCTCAACAACCAAACTTCAATTAAAGAAGAGTGAGTTTTCATTACCTTGGAGACTTAACATAAATAAAGTGTATGAGTGACAATGAAGGGAAAGAGAAGAACCTTGGATTGACTATACTGCTCTTTTCAAGAATCCCAGTAAAAGAAAAGGCAACTCAATTGGATTGGGTCCAGCAAGCTGTATATCTACTTGTGATTCATTATTGCACTGAGCAACTGAATACCTGCTATTAACAGATATTATCCTCAGCATCTAACGAGCTCAAACTTGAGTATGATTTGTTCAGGTCCTGACCAAATGGATACTCTGTGTCAATTTAGGAATGGCAGAAAAGCAGCAAACCTTTAGGAGGTACCTGTAATTGAACAGGCATTGTGGTAAATATTTCACATATGCTATTTTATCTAATTTTTATGTCAACCTCATGAGGGATGAAATAATAGTTCCATTTAAAGATGAAGAAACTGGCTGACGGTGTAGCTCAAGGGGTAGAGCTCCCACCTAGCAAGCTCCAAACCCTGAGTTCAAACGTCAGAACTGCAAAAAAAAAAAAAAAGGGGGGGGGGGTAGGGGGATGGTTTGAGAAAAAGAAAACAACCTAAAGGTGAGGGAACTGGCTAGGGGTATTCCTCAGTGATAAGCATGTGCTTAGCATGCTTGAGACCTTGGGTTCAATCCCCAGAACCCAAAACTAGTAAACAAAAAGACAAGGAAACTGAAGCTTGGATAGGTTGCACCACTATGAAACTTGGATACACTATACCTCCAGCTCCTATAGAAGAACTACAATCTGAACTCAGGTCAGTTTTACTACAAAGCTTTGTTTTTTGTTGTGGTGCTGAGGATTGAAACAAGAACTTCCCCCATGGAAAGCAAGTACTCTACCACTGAGTTAAATTCCCATCCCATGATTTTATTTTATTTATTTATTTTTTTCTTTTATTATTCATATGTGCATACAAGGCTTGGGTCATTTTTCCCCCCTGCCCCCACCCCCTCCCTTACCACCCACTCCGCCCCCTTCCTCTCCCCCCCTCCAATACCCAGCAGAAACTAT